TTACTGGTGTCTTGGTGAATTCCTGTTTAATGAGACAAAGTTGCAAGGTAAGCTAGATAGAGTTGCAGCTTCCTCAAATTGTTATCGCACGGCCACTTGCAAACGTAATACTTTTTACACGAAATTGTCAGTTCGATTCCATCCATATAGATTTTAACTACAACGTCGATTACGGGCTGTGTTGACATTTTGTATATGTATAGTTTCGCTAAAAGCTTTGATTGAGTGGGCTAGATCACAGGAGATGTCGTGTTAAAACGCAGGCTGCAGACCGTGAAGACCGTGCAGAATGTGCAGACCGTGCAGACCGTGCAGACCGTGCAGACCGTGCAGACCGTGCAGACCGTGCAGACCGTGCAGACCGTACAAACCGTGCAAACCGCGCTCTGTTGGCTCGAGAATTTCGACTGTTACGTTTTGTGAGACACTGACGAGTTCATTCATGACCTATCACGCAATCCACTTCGATAGGTATCCAATTTTTACAGTATTATGCGGTTTTTTTCAGCCTAAGAAAAAAATGACGTTTTCTCGCTAATGGAATTTTATTTTACGTTTCGGTGGACGTTAAACGACCAATGAAACCTTTTCGGTGTCTGTGGCTTCTCAGGTCAAAAAGTGATTCGAACTCGTGGTCCAAGGTGAAGAAATAGAAGACCAGGCGTCGACGCAGGAAACAGAAAAGTTCAATGTTTGCACTTTATATTAACAAAAAATCAAAAATTCTGGTCCGCTCTTCTCCTGGTAATATTCGCGTTGATTGGTTACAATTATTGATTTTTTGACCATTCTGTTTTAGGCTACATAATTTTAGGCTATATAAAAGTCATGAGGTTCTACAAAACACCATAACTTATTGGATTTTATGTGAGTTTACAATCCCTAGAAGGCAACTTGGTTCTGGAATACTGGAACAACATGCGGAGACGTTTGACAATTGCGTTGAACATGCTAATAACGGCTAACTATTTTGTAGGTCTGAAGTGATGGCATCAAAAGGCGGTTACAGGAAAATCTCTGGTGATGAAAAGAAAAATTTCAGTTTTGGATCTTTCCCTTTTTTTTCGTTAGATGAACGGAGTCCTTAAGGAGGGCAGCCAAAGACCTTTAGATCAAAATGACTTTTTACCCCTCTCAGACGAGAACTCTGGCCGTTTTGTCACCGACAAGCTTCAGAAGATCTGGGAGAGCGAGAAACATGACTGAAAGATGAATGGGAAAAGGCCCAGACTTTGGAAAAGCGTGTTTGATATGCTTTCTGTCAAAGATGTCATCATCATTTTGATGGGGAATATATTGTGTACAACTTCTCGCCTTCTCTTTCCACTGTTTCTCGGGTATCTTGTTTCTAAGCTTATGTCAACTGAGGCAGGGAATACTTATCAGCTCTACGCCTGCGCATTAGCTATATGTCTCAATGGTTTCATCGGTGGTCTTGGTATGCACCAGCAAGACTACAGATGTGAAATCGCCCTGAGGGGACTGGCTTACCACAAGGTAGGCACGATCTTAAGGCTCAACCGATTTCTCCAATGCCCTTAACACTCCAAATTAAGCCGAACAAACTTGAACACGTTTATCTATCCGATAAAGAATGATTTTTTTCTAGAAATCTTATCAATTTCAATCGACCTATGCTACGTGGAGACCCGGAAGGAGAGACTAATTAAACATCATCGCCAGTTGCGGCCTATACGAGAGTGAGCAATCCTGCTCACCAACAAAAGATTCGAAGGAACAAACAGTTATTTAGCCTGCCGTTAACGTAGAAGTAGGCCACAGAAACCATAACATATACAGCCGCGCTTCTGAGCGAGACTTAAAACGGTGCCGGAGTTGTCGCACTTTTTACACATTTAAAGAAAATTCGGTAGAGGTTTCGATGCTGTCGTCTCGAAACGCAGTCACGGTTATCTTTATACCGGAGATTTAAATCGTATGGTTTATGGAACAAACTTCTTCTCTTATGTCTAATCTGTACTCTCTTTCAGACGCAGATGCTAATACTAAGCTGCGCTTGGGCACAGCTACAGTGTCCGATCAGCGAATCTCCCTAATGAATCAAGTAGTTTCGGGGATCGGCACGGTCAAAATGCATGCGTAGGAGGACGAATATGGACAAAAGATAAAACATATAAGAAGGTAAGGTAAATTATCATTTTTATTCAGAAGTAGGCTCCAACAACTAGCATTATATATTCCCGTAATTGTTGACCCAAATTATTAAAAACTCGGAAATAGATAACCACATATCGTACTGGGAGATTTGTTAGCTAGGCCGTTTAAACATGCCCTCCCCCCCCCCCCCAAAAAAAAAGGTCTAATCTCTTTACCAGTACTGATCAGTAGCCCATTTCATAACCGGAGGACTGGCCGGTCGATTAAACAATCTCAGTATATACTTAGTCGATAGTGTTAAAATGAGGAAGGGTGCGCTTGCTACCCGCTCACCTCGTTGATGTGTCAAACTAGAGAGAACACTGACGACGAGTCGGTTCGACAGAATGCCCACATAACTTATGATAACCCTTTATCTTCAGAAATGAAACCAGCGTCATTTCGAGGAGGGCAGCCATTCAGTCAAGCATCGATGACTTGTCATACAGTGCAACGCCACTGGCCACACTGGTGTCAGTAATTACTATGGTGCTTACAGGGCAGACCCTCACGCCCGCCAATATTTTTACTCTCCTGTCGTTTATGGGTGTTTTAAAAGTGAGTAACATGTTGAATATGACTCCTGGTTTAATGTTAACGTATGACGCCTACGTTTCACTCGGAAGAATCGAAAAATTCCTTCTTTTGGAAAATCTGTTGGAAGCCTCGGAGAGTGGTGAAAGCAACGAGCCCCCACAAAAAGCGAAAAGTACCTCAAGTGACCAAAGTCGCAGTTACTTGAGAAAAGAAGAGGGAAATATTAGGAATGTTTCCCTGTCTCATGAAGCAACAGAATTAGGGCCTACTATACTATGTGTGTCAAGTTTAAGCTGCGCAAAAACGCATCGTGAAGATGAGTTTATTCTTCAGGATATCAACTTCTTTGCACCTTTAAACAGTTTAACAGTCATCACTGGCCCGGTTGGAAGTGGGAAGTCTACTCTTCTCTCAGCGATCACTGGTGAAATTTCGAACGCCAGTGGGACGATTGATTATGAAGGTGCTATCGTTTACTTGCCTCAGACTGCTTGGGTGTTCTCGGGAACGATAAAAGAAAACATTCTGTTTGGCCAGCCCTACGAGGAGTCTTAGTACAAAAGATAAATCGACGTCTGTGCTCTGAGAGAAGACTTTCAGCGGTTACCTGATGGTGACCAAACAGTTTTTGGAGAACGCAGCGAGGTTCTGAGTGGAGGACAACAGGCGAAAGTAAGTTTAGCTCATGCAGTTTATGCTGACGGAGATATTTATCTATTGGATGATCCACTAAATGCTGTCGATTTTAAAGTTGGCCAACACATCTTTAACAAGTGCATCAAAGATCTACTAGGCGATAAAATGGTTCTGTTTGCCTCTCATCAGCAAAAGCACATGGAAAATGCTGATCAAGTGATTGTGTTGTACAAAGGGCGTGTCCTCGACAAGGGACGCTTTACTGCGCTGCACCAAAAAGGTGTAATTAGTTGAACTGTTGACCCGCTCTATAAGGCAGCTCTGAATCTCAGTCTTATCTTGGCCACTCTCCTGGGAAGATAAGGAGGAACACAATGATGTTGAAAAGTGCTATAGAACATATGCTGTGCCCGATGAAGCGAGGAGTTTGGAGATGGCAAAGGAGGATCGTGCAATCGGAGTTGCGACATCCAGGCTTTATTGGGACTATTTCAGAAGTGGAGCACATCCTTTGTTGATAACTGGAATGGTTGGTTTAAGTCTCATTACTCAAGGTAAACTTGTTGTTAGGGTGAGTTTCAAACCTTGGGTCAGGCCCTAAAAGGGAAGACAGGAATCTTTTTTCTACATTTCTTTTATTCTATTTCGTGCAAATCATTTCGCAATGGTTATGCTTTTAACCAACAATACGCTTTGCTTTTAGATTAGATGGTAGAGTTGAGAGACGCTTCACAAAATTCTGACCATGTTCCCGATATCTCACTTGCTCGTACAAGCGCGAGGTAAGTGCGAGTCGAACGTGAATGGCGAGTCACGCGCGAAAGGAAGAGCTGAAGCCTTGCTCCTTGTGTTTCCCTTGCACTTGCCTGCACTCGCCTAAAAAAGGCCAAAAAACTCCTTTCTGACTAATTTTCTGAGACCGAATGCAGTTTTCTAACAATATTTATGTGTAACATGGTTGACTGCCTCATCTACTCCCTGAAATCTATTCTGTGATACTTACATAAACATCTCCAAGATACAAACGAAAGTAGCTAACCCAAGGGAGTTGTGTCTAGGCCCAATAAATCTTATAATGTTTAACTGAATGATCATATAGAAATACTTTTCAACCACCACGCCTTGATCTTATCTCTTTCAGCCATCATAGCTGCTCCAGACTTGTGACTCTCGTTTCTTGCAAAGCTAAGCCCAGAGGATCAGAAGAACAAGACTTATCTATTTGTCTTCGCCTGTCTGGTTTGCGCGTGTTTTTATAGTTACTATCATTCCAAAAACATTCCTGGCGGCAATGCAGAGGCTCTGCATTGCCCCCAGGAATGTTTTGGCTAACAACTCATCTACGCAGCCATTATCATTGGAGAAGCGATTTAGGATTCTTCCTAGTGGGTTTGAATCAAAGAACAGGACAAGTGCTTGTAAAATGGCCACAACCATTTTATCGTGAAGACGCTCGGCGCACTTTAGAAAAAGTAGGAGGAATCCATAAGCCCGAATTTCAGCATTTTCGATGTGCTTTTGCTGATGAGAGGCAAACAGAACGATTTTATTGCCTAGTAGATCTTTGATGCATTTGTTAAAGATGTGTTGGCCAACTTTAAAATCGACAGCATTTAGTGGATCATCCAATAGATAAATATCTCCGTCAGCATAAACTGCATGAGCTAAACTTACTTTCGCCTGTTGTCTCCACTCAGAACCTCGCCGCGTTCTCCAACAACTGTTTGGTCACCATCAGGTAACCGCTGAAAGTCTTCTTTCAGAACACAGACGTTGATTATTCTTTTGTTCTTAGACTCCTCGTAAGGCTGGCCAAACAGAATGTTTTCTTTTATCGTTCCCGAGAACACCCAAGCAGTTTGAGGCAAGTAAATGACGGCACCTTCATAATCAATCGTCCCACTGGCGTTCGAAATTTCACCAGTGATCGCTGAGAGAAGAGTAGACTTCCCACTTCCAACCGGGCCAGTGATGACTGTTAAACTCTTTAAAGGTGCAAAGAAGTTGATATCCTGAAGAATAAACTCATCTTCACGATGCGTTTTTGCGCAGCTTAAACTTGACACACATAGTATAGTAGGCCCTAATTCTGTTGCTTCATGAGACAGGGAAACATTCCTAATATTTCCCTCTTCTTTTCTCAAGTAACTGCGACTTTGGTCACTTGAGGTACTTTTCGCTTTTTGTGGGGGCTCGTTGCTTTCACCACTCTCCGAGGCTTCCAACAGATTTTCCAAAAGAAGGAATTCTTCGATTCTTCCGAGTGAAACGTAGGCGTCATACGTTAACATTAAACCAGGAGTCATATTCAACATGCCACTCACTTTTAAAACACCCATAAACGACAGGAGAGTAAAAATATTGGCGGGCGTGAGGGTCTGCCCTGTAAGCACCATAGTAATTACTGACACCAGTGTGGCCAGTGGCGTTGCACTGTATGACAAGGCATCGATGCTTGACTGAATGGCTGCCCTCCTCGAAATGACGCTGGTTTCATTTCTGAAGATAAAGGGTTATCATAAGTTATGTGGGCATTCTGTCGAACCGACTCGTCGTCAGTGTTCTCTCTAGTTTGAAATATCAACGAGGTGAGCGGGCAGCAAGCGCACCCTTCCTCATTTTAACACTATCGACTAAGTATATACTGAGATTGTTTAATCGACCGGCCAGTCCTCCGGTTATGAAATGGGCTACTGATCAGTACTGGTAAAGAGATTAGACCTTTTTTTTGGGGGGGGGGGGGGGGAGGGTATGTTTAAACGGCCTAGCTAACAAATCTCCCAGTACGATATGTGGTTATCTATTTCCGAGTTTTTAATAATTTGGGTCAACAATTACGGGAATATATAATGCTAGTTGTTGGAGCCTACTTCTGAATAAAAATGATAATTTACCTTACCTTCTTATATGTTTTATCTTTTGTCCATATTCGTCCTCCTACGCATGCATTTTGACCGTGCCGATCCCCGAAACTACTTGATTCATTAGGGAGATTCGCTGATCGGACACTGTAGCTCTGCCCAAGCGCAGCTTAGTATTAGCATCTGCGTCTAAAAGAGAGTACAGATTAGACATAAGAGAAGAAGTTTGTTCCATAAACCATACGATTTAAATCTCCGGCATAAAGATAACCGTGACTGCGTTTCGAGACGACAGCATCGAAACCTCTACCGAATTTTCTTTAAATGTGTAAAAGGTGCGAGCCTTAAGATCGTGCCTACCTTGTGGTACGCCAGTCCCCTCAGGGCGCTTGCTATTTTGATTCCCAATATTTCATATCTGTAGTCTTGCTGGTGCATACCAAGACCACCGATCAAACCATTGAGACACATAGCTAATGCGCAGGCGTAGAGCTGATAAGTATTTTCTGCTTCAGTTGACATAAGCTTAGAAACAAGATACCCGAGAAACAGTGGAAAGAGAAGGTGAGAAGTTGTAGACAATATATTCCCCATCAAAATGATGATGACCAAAAAAAAAGGGAAAGATCCAAAACTGAAATTTTTCTCTTCATCACCAGAGATTTTCCTGTAACCGACTTTTGATGCCATCACTTCAGACCTACAAAATAGTTAGCCGTTATTAGCATGTTCAACGCAATTGTCAAACGTCTCCGCATGTTGTTCCAGTATTCCAGAACCAAGTTGTCTTCTAAGGATTGTAAACTTGCATAAAATCCAATAAGTTATGGTGTTTTGTAGAACCTCATGACTTTTATATAGCCTAAAATTATGTAGCCTAAAACAGAATGGTCAAAAAATCAATAATTGTAACCAATCAACGCGAACATTACCAGGAGAAGAGCGGACCAGAATTTTTGATTTTTTGTTAATATAAAGTGCAAACATTGAACTTTTTTGTTTCCTGCGTCGACACCTGGTCTTCTATTTCTTCACCTTGGACCACGAGTTCGAATCACTTTTGACCTGAGAAGCCACAGAAGCCGAATAGGTTTCATTGGTCGTTTAACGGCCACCGAAACGTAAAATAAAATTTCAAACGCGAGAAAACGTCATTTTTTTCTTAGGTTGAAAAAAACCGCATAATACTGTAAAAATTGGATACCTATCGAAGTGGATTGCGTGATAGGTCATGAATGAACTCGTCAGTGTCTCACAAAACGTAACAGTCGAAATTCTCGAGCCAACAGAGCGCGGTTTGCACGGTTTGTACGGTCTGCACGGTCTGCACATTCTGCACGGTCTTCACGGTCTGCAGTCTGCGTTTTATCACGACATCTCCTGTGATCTAGCCCACTCAATCAAAGCTTTTAGCGAAACTATACATATACAAAATGTCAACACAGCCTGTAATCGACCTTGTAATTAAAATCTATGTGGATGGAATCGTACTGACAATTTCGTGTAAAAAGTATTACGTTTGCAAGTGGTCGTGCGATAACAATTTAAGGAAGCTGCAACTCTATCTAGCTTACCTTGCAACTTTGTCTCATTAAACAGGAATTCACCAAGACACCAGTAATATTGCCGTTCCTTGCTATTTGCAAGCCATATCTATTGCACGAGCGAATAGGTTTTGAGAGAATTCTAAATATAGAAAAGAAAAATCGACTAAACGATGTTCCTGTATAATAAGACAGATATCGTATTTTGAAACGAGAGGATAACAAAATTTCCCAAGAGTCCTGTCTTCACCACGCTGAACTAAAGGGGACTTATTTTGGAAGTTTTGAAAGCGCACTTTCAAAATAAATTTCAAAACTCTGGGGACAGAAACGAGTTGAAAAAGGAACTTTTCGAAAACGCTATGACTAAATGCCCGGTAGCCGGACACGGTCTCGAGAAGCGTAAGCACTAAAATATGGGTGACCTAAAACCACCTAAAACCATTTAAAACCACCTAAAACCACCTACAATCAATAATTTCTGAAAATACTTGAGCCTTCGATCGATTTGAAACATTAACTGGTAAGCGCCCTCCGTCGAATGAACGGCGCTCCTTTCCACAGGCTTTTCGCGCGGGTCAAGACTAACCGAAACTGGAAACCGCGCATGAACTAAAACATGTTAAAACATGAACTTCTTTAGCCAAGAACTAAAATCGGAACAAATTAATGCCAGCATGTCGTAGGTTCCGAGAGCTGATTGACTCGATCTTTTTCACGTTTGGGACTCGTAAGGATGCCGCTTGTAAGTGCGGTAATTTTAGGGAGGCTATAAGCTACATGCATCTTGCGAGATTTGCAAGTTCTGTTTATCACACATCGCTCCAAATGTCACTGTGCTTTCCGTGGTTTCCTATTCTCAGTCAATTTCATTTTTTTCTCTGAATAATGTACCAACTTATTATAAAACTGTTTTATTTTCTGTGTTGTACGCTCGCTCCGCAGCCCGATTTGAAGCAATTTCAGATGGTTAGGATTACTCGGATTTCCCTGAAACACATCACCCCTGATGTTATTTTACGCAACCTCATTAAATCTCCGACTACCTGCTGGTGTCCCATTGACTTCTGTAAGACGTTGAAAAAAGCAAACCTTGAAAACTCAGACCTCGAAAGCACTGAGCTCGAAAACGTAGTCTATGACTCGAAAAGCCTTAAGGCTCTCGGTGCTACTCCTGTGTAAAAAATTTTCTTTGTGTTTTCCCTGGTCATGCGACCCACTGGATGGGCAAATGTCGCAGACAATGACTTAATTTTCAAGTGTCAAGCGTTTCTAAAAATTAACTTGGTGTTTTGGTGGACAAATTCTCCGAGCTAGTGAAAAAGATAACTTCAATGCTCTTTCAATTTTTTGGCGGTTTAATTAAGCTCTTTGTATGCCCATGATTAGGGTTCACTCAAATCTGTCTGCCGCCGTTGACGAACGTTGCTGTGAGCGGAAAACATTCGTTCGGTTTTTTCGTATACAAATAATTTGGAAATGTTGTCTGGAAATTTTGTCCAATGAAGAATGGACCGCAGTATGACATCAATTAATGGTTTATATTCAAATTTTCGACTTTATTTGTTTTCTGAATAGTTCTGCGCCATCGATTCTTTCGCTCTTAATAAGTTTGACAAATCATTCATTAAAAGTCTGATGTCCTGCTCAAAGCTTTCTAGGAGTAGAGTAAACTGGACCTTAATTTCAATCGCACTTAACTTGACTTGCACTGATTCGAGACTCTTAACCTCGCATAAAACAAAAACGTTCCTCAAAAGTGACATGAGCCTCAAGACGTATCACTGCTTTCCATGAGAGCGATTGTAATTCAACCAACGCTTTTCCTAAGGTTTCCCCGTGACACCATAGACATCATTGTACTCCCTAACGCTGGGATGCACCTTGAGTGTGAAGTGAATTCAATGTACAAATTAGAAACCAAGCACTTAGAAGACCCGTAACTTTAAGCGCTAATTCATCCCTTTGATTAATGCCTGCGACAATAATTTCCATTATGGCGAGGGCTCTTCAACAAAATGTTAATGATGATAAACTTACCAAGAGCAAGCCAACTTTGCAGGCTCCACATTTAAGACGCAGTCTCTCTAAAAACGGTCCGGTGTGTTTCGGGTCGAAAAATCGATTTCTTTCAAACTTTGCCCAGGAATCTACGTAAGTCTAAAAGTAATCGAGACCACCTTGGTATTTGTAAGTATAGCAAAATAATTTTTTTCTAAGCGAAAATCGCTTCAGCGCTCAAACGCTAGTTTTTTATCAACACCGAATATCAAAACTGGCACAAATTGCTGAGCTCGTCTTTTCACAAAATTCGAGTTTGAGGGTTTTTTCTTGCTTCACATATTTAGATAAACCCTTTGATCTAAACGAGAACAAAGCAGGTAACGATTTTTTTCAATGCAATTTTGTTTGACACCCACTTTGACGCTACCGTCATGACCGGAAATATGCAACTTTTTTATCTCGGCTCAGCGCAAAAATTCCAACTTCTTTCCCACGATATTTTTATCCAGACTGATAAATGCTCTTTCATATGCTCTAACAGATATATTTAAATTCTCTGCAATAAAAATCTGGGAATCAGTACCACCTGAATTTAAACGTTTTCCATACATGCTATTCAAAAAGCGTTATAAAAGATTCTTATTGAGTCCTCAGAACTGACCATATAGTTTAACTGTTAGCGATATAAGATACTGCTTCACAATATGCAGTTTTCCTTTTATTCTAACTTGCATTTATGTATGTCTTTCTTCTCTTACGATAACAATATTGTCTTTAATGTAACTATTAATTTAAATTATACTTAACATGCGGCTAACCCCAACTAAAATCTACACATGACAGTAACCAGTTCGAAAGCTCATTGGTCACTGTTCACGATGAAATATTCTTTTTTCTAGTTAATTTCTGTTTGTATTTTTTCTATATCATTGTAAATCATGTTATGTTATTTTTTTCTGTAAACAGTGTGAAATAATAAAGTGTGAAGTGTCTGACTAAAATAGGGTAGAAGGGCATAAAAACATAAAAACATGATGTGGTTTCGGCGAACTTCTAGAATAACCGGCCATCAAATTACGTGCATTTTCGAAAATTCGAAAATTCGACCTTACAATTAACATGGAGCGGTCTAAAAAATAACGAAACTTATACGGCCAACTTAAGTTTAACAAGTGATTTGAGTCCAAAAGAGCCTTTTTAAAACTCCCAATGGGATAAAACATCATTAAGTAACGAAAAATCTTTATCTCCATCTAGAAAAAATACTGCCGCCGAAAGTAGACTCTTAGCTCTAGGTGACCTATTGTTTCGTTTATCACTCAATTAATGAGGAAAGGGAAAAAACTTCAGAGGTAGGATAGCTATGACGAGATTCAAGTTTATTCAGAATAACACTAAGTCGAAGTTTTCGTACTCGTGGTAACGTGTATGTGACATGTAATCAAATAATATTTTACCACGCGAACTAATTTATCTTAAGGTCCTTTCTTCTGAATTTATGAAATATCACGAAGTCGCCAGAAATAAAATTTTGGATGAAAACCCAAAAAAACATAGTGGACCTTTTTCCTATCGTGATAAGACTTCTGAGTACCGCCTTCAGGTCGCAAAATAGTGTTGATAACTCGGTAACTTAACTCATGCGTCACTCAACGTCAGGTTTGTTGGTAGTAACCATTGGCCTACTGAATTATGTTATTTAAGTGCCACTCTCGCTAAGAGCGGTCCTCTCGACTTCCCGTCGGGAAAAAGTTTTCTTTCATTTTTTGCCCATGAAAAGGGTTTAGGACACGTGTTTCAAAAATAGATTAGTTGTTCTCCGATTCTCTTTTTTTGCGTCGCCACAAGCCAAAAATGATTTTTGGCCAGACCACCCTTGTGAACAGCGATCGAAAGTGTAAATTTCAAAGATTTTGTCTAGCGCGCAACAACTGCAACAATGTAGCTCACGGAATTCTATCTTGCAACAAGTTACAAGGTGTATTCAGTTAGTTCATAGACAAAATATGGAAACTTCAGCTGAAATATTTTTCATACTAGCGTGATCAGAGGAGACCCTTCTCTTCGACCTTAATTTGCATATCAAAAATTCCTTGCTTTGTACGAAAGAATTCTCAAAATGCAGGCGTTAATCGGGCTGAAAAAGCATATCAGTGCATAGTTTATACACCAGTGAGGTCACGGATTGTCTCAAACCCGCGGGTATATCTCTAGCTTCCATCCACCAACTTCTTAAAAACAACGTAAATTCACGTGTTTGCTCAATTGCGCTCGTGTCAAAGATCATTTGCATGATTCTTAGAATTGACCAAGATCTCCTTTTGACCGTTCAAACTTCGTTCGTTTATCCTCTACGTTGAGGATTTTACGTTTTCACAGCAACTGAATAGAGATTAGATGCCGAGTTTTCCTAAAACGTTGCGTAAACGTGATCGGTCGTAACGCTTGCGCGCTTGCGTGACTTACAAAGTAGACAAAGGTGATCGGAAGGCGCCTTCTCGATAATTTACGTTGAAATATCAGGTCATGAACAATGCACAGTGTGGAGAAGATCAAAATTAAAGAATAAAATCTGGCAGACTGGTCATAACAGACCTGCCGCGTCGCTTAAAAGGACACAAAAACAAGTTTAATAGGTTACAGTGTTTATATTTACAAAACAACACACATACACTCTGAAATCATTCTTGCAGTTTCTCCCGAGATTTAGTATACGAAACTCGATGAACTAACCCTCCTTTCCGCAGATTTGTTTTCATCACTAATGATGTTTAACGCTCTTATGGACCACAACGGTTTTAAGGGACAAACTCGACATTCCCCTGCGACCATCAAAATCAATTCGACAAACCCAGCTTGATATATTGCGTGAGGTGATTGTGCAAATTTTTCCTCTTGCCTTATAGCCTGTTTCACGGGTTCTACAAATTGAAACCAAAATTAGTTTGTGTAACGAATTAGAATCGAAAGTTATTAAAGTGGACTGAATTACATTTTAAAGAGAATTTTAACTTTTAAAAAGGTTTACTTAATTCATGGAAAGCAAAGATTGGAGTGGCTTTGGGTATTTCAGCCCTGATTTCTCTCCTGGAATACCGGTGTCACAGCGGATTTGGACCCCCCGCGGATTTGGAGTCCCGGTCCAAATCCGCTAGCGGATATGGACCCCCTTCGCAGATTTGAACCCCCCCTACCAAAAGTTCCTTTTAAGTATCGTTTGTATCATACTTGGTCACTAATTCTATTTGGAAGCTTTTTGCCGATATTCTTTTCCATCACAAAACAACATTCCTCAGTAAAGGTAAAGAAAAACAGCCATTTCGTTCCAATTCCGCCGTATGTATTATAGCGAGTCGTCCAGTATACGCAATAATGAAATGCGAACAAACTACTGCATTCGAACTCTTGAAATTGTTTCAGTAAATCTTTGCTTCTTCTGATGCGAATCAACATTAATACGAAACGTCATAACATTAGTGGAGACTGTTGCATCCCGTCACAAAAATAACTCAGTCTGATTTTCTAATTAAATAGCATTAAACAGTTTCTGAACAAGAACAAAGTAACAACTCCTACTAAAAGTCGTTCGTAAAGCCTATGGTAAGTAAAAATGTTTCTATTCTGAGCAATTGGAACTCTCAGCTTATTTTCAAAGGAAAATCAACATTAATGTCTACGTCCTAACAAAAGTGGTGACTATTACATCGAACTCAATCTTCCTTTCTAATTTCAACGAATATTAACCGTTAAGAAATAACACCTTAACAATTACGAAGACGTTTAGAGTCTAGCGGTTTGCAGACAATGCAGAGCCACTTGCCCTCCAGGGCAGTCTTATATCCCTCGCAGCTCATGTGCAACCATTCCTCGCACAACTCGCACTGTACCATGTCGTCCAAACACTCGGGCACTGAACAATAACAAAATAAATTAAAGTCAAAAGTTTGTCTATTATTGAATCTAACGGTGTTCGACTTTCGCGGAAAGGGTCATTTCCAGCTGCCAATTGCATGTTTTGAATCAAAAACATACTTTAATACGCACTGGAACGTCAAATATTTCTACTAGAACGTCAAGGATGATGTTTCACTCAGTTTTTCTGGGGGTCCAAATCCGCGGAGGGGGGTCCAAATCCGCTGTGACACCGGTTCAAATTTCCCATCTTCACCCCCAGTAAGTAGAATGAAAATTCATGGCCAGCAAACACTGTTGTGGTTTACAATTATTTTTCTACTGGCTAATCCAGACAAGTTTCAGTCTCTGAACATTTATCCGTGGAAACTCAATAAGGACAAGAGAGACAAGATGCTGAATATAATCGATCTGGACATTGTGAACACGGAACTAATCAAATCATTATTATCACATAGATGATAACCTCAACTTTATTGAGCATATTAGCAAATTATGTAATAAGGCAGGACAGAAAGTCGGAGCACTCTCTTGTCTTCGAAACTTAATACCCTGCAAGGCTACGCTGCCACTGTATAAATCTTTTATAATACCCTATTTAACTTACTGCCATTTAACTTGGCATTTTTGCAAGTCATCCGACAAAAGGAAGCTAGAACGAATACAAGAGCCCTAAGGGTGATATATAAACCCCACTCTGACAAATTTGAAGAACTTTTACGACGTGCTGATATACTTTCTTTATATAACAAACGGCTTCAAGATATCACTGCACTTATGTACAAAGTTAAACATGGTCTCGTACCTGATTGCGTTTCCGATATATTTTTGCGCAAAGGTTCTACTCGCTGCGGAATCGTGACTTCGCATTACCACGTTTTGAGTGTGACTACACGCTACTAACACTCTGTTAGATATCTTGGACCATTCTTATGGTAAAAACTTACCGTAAATCAAAGGAATTCCCCCTGTTTACCCGTTTTTATTGACAAAAATAGAAAATTGGATCTTGCAGACATTTTAACCAACAACAGCAAGGGCTGTAATCTTTGTAACCAATAGAATTAGTTCTATTGTTAAATAGTACCATATATATAAGTGTAGTATAATATACCATATAATATAAGTATCATATGTTAATTAGTGTTGCTATTTTATTGGTGTCCTCAATTAGTCCATCTGGCCTTAACACATTGACATTTAAATAAAGGTTTTACTTTACTTTACTTTACGAGGTAATATGTTTGGAAGAGACTGTTATAGAGTTGTTGATCTTACATGGAACTTAATTAAGCTGTGCCGCTATCTTGTAGGCCTGTAGTTCCTCTCATTCTTTCTGCTTGTCCGAAATCTAAATTTATACTCAACGTGAATGTTGACATGATAACCTGTTACTCTCTAATATTAGACCCTAAATCTGAAAATACCGAGGCCGTTGAACGGTTTCCTATTTCTGAATAAACTACGTTACAATCAAGATATTTTAACCTTAGACCGCGTCTCAATTGATGTTTATTATTGAATCAGATTTGTCAAATCCTTTAACTTTTCCACCTTTCAAGACCAAAATCTTCTCGCAGTCTTTTATCGTGTTCAAACGGTGAGCTATAGTGATGACAGTGGACTCCTTCAGTTTGTCCCGCACTACATTCCAAATCGTCTGCTCTGTGTCTGGGTCAACATGTGCAGTTGGCTCGTCCAAGACGACAATTTTACTTCGCTGTAGCAGCACACGAGCCAAGCAAATTAACTGCTGCTCTCCAACACTGACATTAGCGCCATGCTCCAGCAGTTCGTGATCCAGCTTGGCCTCAAGTGTCTCGACAAAATCTTTCAGTTGCACGTCCTCTAAAGCTTGCCATAATTCAGCGTCTTGAAACTTGTCAAAAATATCTAGATTTTTCCTCAATGATCCGCTAAAAAGAACAGGACTTTGGCCAAGAACCGAGATACCTCGTCGAGCTTGTTGGAGACCTATGTCTTTAATTGGAACATTGTCAATGATTATCTCTCCATCAGCATCAGGCATGCGCATAAGAGCTGCTACAAAAGATGACTTCCCAGCTCCCGTACGGCCGACAACTCCAATCTTCGCTCCTCCTTTGATGATAATATTGATGTTTTTCAACACTTGAGGTCCTCCCGGATAGTACGTCAGTAATACATCTCTAAACACAATACTTCCTCTCCGAGGCCAGTCTTGTGGGGGTGTTCGTTCTTCCGCGTATCCAGGTTCACGGTCAAGTTTGGTGTAGGTTATAACTCGCTCAACTGACGTCATGTAGTTTTCCACTTCAGAGGTTTTTCTAACAGCGTATTGAGTGGAGCTCAGAGTTTGGATGACGTAAACAAGAGCGAGACCAGCGTAAGCTGAAAAAAAACTAGACCTTGAATTTATAAATTCCGGACTAGTTTTCTCTTGTTGGCTCAAAACATATAACGAAAACTTAGGTTTTACGTCTTTCTTAGTGTTGTTGTTTTGACTCCTGGCTAAGTAAGTGCAGAGGAGTTATCAACACAAGTTTCCCAACTTGAATCATAATAGACACTTCAACGTTTGCTTAGCAGTTAAGCTACCCGAGTGACTCTCACGTTTCTGTCGCATATAGAAACCACCCATTGATAATAGGAGTGCACGTATTTTCACACTTATTTTTTATTTATTAGTTCATGCTGTGTCAATACACGACTATATAAATTCTTACTTTACATAGAAAACCAAAAACGTTACTAAGAATCTTGAGCTTACCGGCATCTTGAGATACCAAGATTGCAGCCACAGCAACTGCACCGACTAACAAGGAAGCGAGACAATCCAAACGTGCACCGAGCCACCTACCGCTGGCCATCACCATAATGTACGCCTGATTATGAACATCTTCATATCTGAAGGGATGAGTTTTTATCACAATGTGTTATAATAATGGAGTAATTTTTTAGCTGACTGTCGAAAATAAACCGGATTGTAGAAGCTTTGTATTACTTTAGTTCGTGATGGGCCCGACAAACTCGCGCAAAACAAACCGCTTAATGGTCGTGCGCGTTTTCCCGCACTCAATGCCGTTTCCTTGTTTTTATGTTAAGTCCTCTTTCACTACTTGTAATCTTTTCTTTTGTTCCGACTGGCTTGTTGTTCTCAAACTGTTTTTTTTCCCACAATCACTCCAAAAAACACTCTAAGGAGATTACATCGGGTCTGCACATTGAAGTGAGACCAGTGTCTCCTTTGGCCTGACAATCTAACGTAGTCTTTCAAGAAATTCCGCCCGACCCCACCCTCTCAAAAAGATATTACTCTCCAAGAAACATCCACAAGCTTCTAGCTAAGTATCCGAAAGATCACTTCCGTAACCACATCTCAGTCTTAGGTATGCTCCATTCGTCCAGATGAAGTGAGAGCCGCTGGAGCCAAGTTTGTTTACGATATGGGTACTTTTCCACTAAAAAGGATAAATCTCCCCCCCTGCCACCTCAAAGAAAAAAATTCTTAATTGTTCACTATCGCAACTACATATTGTATACTAAGGATAAAATTTATCAGAAGGAGAAGACGAGTGGCACTTGTCTGTATTTCCTTTAAACTCATATTGGTAATAGGACTGAGTGGAGTCCAATTCGGTCCGTAATCATACATGTTATTAACGGTAGAAACAAGAAGAAGCATCCGTAAGCTTCTAGCTAACTGTCCGAAAGATCACCTCCATAACCACATAGCATTCTTAGGTATTCTCCATTCGCCCAGATAACGTAAGAGCCGCTAGAGCCGAATTTGTTAACGATATGGGTATTTTTTCATTAAAAATGCTAAACTCTCCAAAACAAGCCAGCTCTTAATTTCTTAATTGTTCACTATCACAACTACATCTTGTATACTTAACATAACATTTATCAGAGGGAGAAGACGAGTGGCACTTATCTGCATTTCCTGTGAAACTCATAATGGAGTCCAATTCGGTCAGAAATAATCAGAGCGATTAACAAAAGCAGACGACTGCGAAGCAGGAGTCTGATTTTTTAAACCACGCGTATTATTGTGGTTATTATTGTGGTATTGTTATTACAGAATTGGAGGACATGACGTTCTCTTACTAATTGATCAAAACTATGACAAAATTAGAGAAAGAAACTAGACATCAGTTATACGTTTTCATAAAAAAAACTCGGCGAAATTCCCGACAACAGCGCGGGCATACACTTACACGCAGACATGACTTGTCAACTGTCCTACTACACTGTCCAATTACAAGCACGACACTGACACTGTGCTATTAGTGCTCTAATCGGGCTGGTGATAACCAATCACGTTCGATACATTTGTTTCATTTTTGACAAATCATGAAATTTCTGCGTCACGCGATCTTGTTGATTGACCGTTCATATTATGGTTCTGTTGAAATCCTATCAGAAGGACGAAAACCGCACAGAGCAATTACTGTAGTCTTTCCGCTTGTCGTGTATTGCCGCTAAATAAGAAAATTAATGGCTCACAAAAAATAGGCAATCATGAGTCATTTGTGCCCTGTACATTTATTGGCTCTGGTACCACAGACTGGATCAATGTCCCCAACATACCTGTAAAGTGCATCCACAAAATCTGTCTGTCTTCCTCTCGTTCGAATCGTGTCAAGTCCTATCAGGGTCTCCGAAAAATGAGCGAACACTGGGCTTCGGGATATCGACTCTAACCTCTTTAGTTCTCTGGCAGTCTTCAAGTAATAGTCGGATAGAAAAACGACCAGCACGGAAATTGGAACAACAAGAAACATCAACCAAACATTTGTGGAAACTGTAACCAGAATTTGGGTAAATATCACCAAGAGCATCTGCATTGCCGCCAGGAATGTTTTAGGTAACATCTCATCTACACAGCCAATGTCGTTCGAGAAGCGATTTAGGATTCTTCCCACTGGATTTGAATCAAAGAACAGGACAGGTGCTTGTAAAATGGCTACAACCATTTTATCGTGAAGACGCTCGGCGCACTTTAGACAAACATGGAAGAATCCATAAGCCCAAACGATAGTAAATATAAAACACACGCCAACCAGACAGGCAAAGACAGATAGATAAGTCTTCTTCTTCTGATCCTCTGGGTTTAGCCTTGCAAGAAACGAGAGCCACAAGTCTGGAGCAGCTATGATGGCTGAAAGAAACATCATTAATATGTAGTGGTTGAAATGTGTTTCTCTATAATCACTCAGTTGAAGATTATAAGATTTATTGGGCCAAGGCACAACTCGCCTGGATTAGCCACTACCGTTAGTATCTTAGGGATGTTTATGTAAGCACCAGAACGTCACAGAATAGATGAAGCAGTCAACCATGTTACTCATAGATATTGTTAGACAACTGCGTTTGATTTCAGAAGTTAGTTTGTAGAGCGAGTGTTTTTTAACCTTTTTCAGGCGAGTGGAGGCAAGTGCAAGGGAAACGCGGAGAGAAAAACACCAGCTCTTCCTTTCGCGCGTGACTCTCCATTCACTTGCGCTTGCCTCGCGATTCTACGAGAGAGCGCGATATCGGGAACATGGTCAGAAATTTGTGCATTGTCTCTTACCTTTACCATCTAATCTTGTGAAGTTATTTGCAGGAAATAGGATAAAGGAAATATAGAAAAAAAAAGGTTGCTGTATTCCCTGTTAGGGCCTGACCCAAGGTTTGTAACTCACTCTAACAATAAGTTTACCTTGAGTAATGAGACTTAAAATAACCATTCCAGTTATCATCAAAGGATGTGCTCCACTTCTGAAGTAGTCCCAATAAAGCTTGGTTGTCACAACTCCGATTGTGCGATCCTCCTTTGCTATTTGCAAACTCCTCGCTTCATTGGGCAGAGCATGTATTTTCTGGCACTTTTCAACAACATCGTGTTCCTCCTTATCTTCCCAGCCGAACGGCCAAGATGAGTCTGTTTTGTCCTTGAGAGCTGCTTTATAGAGTGGGTCAACAGTTGAATTGATTACACCTTTTTCGTGCAGCTCAGTAAAACGTCCCTTGTCGAGGACACGCCCTTTGTACAACACAATCACTTGATCAGCATTTTCCATGTGCTGTTGCTGATGAGATGCAAACAGAACGATTTTTTCGCCTAGGAGATCTTTGATGCACTCGTGAAAGATGTGTTGGCCAACTTTAACATCGACAGCACTCAGTGGATCATCCAATAGATAAATATCTCCGTCAGCATAAACAGCGCGAGCTAAACTTATTCTCGCCTGTTGTCCTCCACTCAGAACCTCGCCGCGTTCTCCAACAACTGTTTGGTTACCATCAGGTAACCGCTGAAAGTCTTCTTTCAGAGCGCAGACGTCGATTATTCTTTCGTACTTGGACTCCTCGAAGGGTTGACCAAACAGAATGTTTTCTTTTATCGTTCCCGAGAACACCCAAGCAGTCTGAGGCAAATAAATGACAGAACCTTGATAATCAATCGTCCCACTGGCGTTCGAAATTTCACCGGCGATCGCTGAGAGAAGAGTAGACTTCCCACTTCCAACCGGGCCGGTGATGACTGTTAAACTCTTTGAAGGTGCAAAGAAGTTGATATCCTGAAGAATAAGTTCATCTTCACGATGCGTTTTTGCGTAGCTTAAATTTGACACACACAGTATAGCAGGCCCTAATTCTGTTGCTTCACGAGAGAGGGAAACTTCGTCCGTATTTTCCTCTTCTTTTTTCAAGTAACTGCAACTTTCGTTACCTGAGGTACTTTTCGCTTTTTGTTGGGGCTCGTTGCTGTCATCACTCTCCGAGGCTTGCAACAGATTTTCCAAAAGAAGGAACTCTTCGATTCTTCCGAGCGAAACGTAGGCGTCATACGTTAGCATTAAACCAGTGATCACACTCAACATGCCACTCAATTTTAAAACGCCCATAAACGAAAGCAGCATAAAAACATTGGCGGGCGTGAGAGTCTGGCCTGTAAGCACCATAGTAATTACTGACACCAGAGTGGCCAGTGGTGTTGCACTGTATGACAAGGCATCGATACTTGACTGAATGGCTGTCCTCTTCGAAATGACGCTGATTTCATTTCTGAAGATAAAAGTTGATCATAGGTTATGAGGGCATTCTGTCGAACCAACTCGTCGTCAGTGTTCTCTCTAATTTGAAATATTAACGAGGTGAGCGGGCGGCACCAGGCGGGCCGCACCCTTCCTAATCGTTCACGTGCGTCTTTTGCGAAAGTCCGTCTTTTGCGACCCCACGATAGCGCATGAAAAATAATAATGAGATGAGATGTTCTACCTATAATAATGAACGATTATTCTCCGAAGTGGAGTTGATATCTATTTACCCGCACGAGTCGCTTGAAGATGAATTGCAAAGGATATTCGGAGGTTTGAGGGCCAATCAAAGTGCATTTTCAACACTATCTACTCATTATATCCTGATATTTTTTAATTGACCGGCCAGTCCTCCCAGTCCGGTTATGAAATGGGTTACATGAGAAACTTATTCTTTGTGAAAAGAGGAATTGTGATTGGCTCATACCGCGGTCCAAAGCGTTTTTTTGGAGGGACTTGTTTGAATTGCGTAGCTAATAAAACTCTTAACTGAGAAGAGGCAGACTTGTAGTTTTTGAATAATTTGGGTCAACAATTACAGGAATGACTAAACATAGTTGTTTTAGCCTACTTCTGATTGAAAATGACTTAATAACTTACCTTCTTACATGTTTTATCTTTCGTCCATATTCGTCCTCCCACGCATGCGTTTTGACCGTGCGGATCCCCGAAACTACTTGATTCATTAAGGAGATTCGCTGATCGGACACTGTAGCTGTGCGCAAGCGCAGCTTAGCATTAGCAGAGGACAAGACGGCAAAGTATGGCATGAGAATACACAGAAGGAGCACACCCGTAACAGCCTGCCAACCAATCAGATTGTAGATAAGAAATGTTGCCCCCGCATAAGCAGGAACTGCGAAAACGGCTGAGAAAAAGAACTTGACTGTCTCTTCTTCCATTCTTTTAACATCATTTGATATCAGGTCAAATAAGCGTCCTGCAGTGAATTTCAGTAACGTCTGCTTGCTGAGTAGAAGCGTCTGAAAGAGGGTACAGATTAGACATTAAAGGAAAAGTGTGTTAACGATGACTTTGTTTCGAGACGAGAGTAACCAAACCTCTACCAAATTATCTTTAAAATAGTGAGTAAAAAGAGCGACAACTCCGGCGCCATTTTGAATCTCGTTCATAAGCGCGGCCGTATACGTTATGGTTTCTGTTGCCTACTTCCACGTTAACTACAGGCTAAATAGCTGCTTCTTTCTTCGATTCTTTTGTTGGTGAGCAGGATTGGTTGCTCTCGCAGAAGCAGCAACTAGCGATGATGATTAATGGCATAAGCCGATCAGATTTCTAGAAAAAATAATTCTTTATCGGATAAATAAATATGTTCAAGTTTGTTCGGCTTAATTTGCGGTGTCTAGGGTATTAGAAAAATCGGTTGAGCCTTCGAAAAACGCAGAGAATACTATTTAGGATCGTGCCTACCTTGTGGTACACCAGTCCTCTCAGGGCGCTTCCTAATTTGATCCCCAATATTTCACATCTGTAACCTCGCTGGTGCGCACCAAGACCACCGATCAAACCATTAAGACACAAAGCTAATGCGCAGGCGTAGAGCTGATAAGTATTCTCTGCCTCAGTTGACATAAGCTTAGAAACAAGATACCCGAGAAACAGTGGAAAGAGAAGGCGAGAAGTTGTACACAATATATTCCCCGTCAAAATGATGATAACATCTTCGGCAGAAAGCATATCAAAGACGCTTTTCCAAAGTTTGGGCCCTTTCCCATTCATCTTGCAATGATGTTTCTCGCTTTCCCAGCTTTTTCGAAGCTTGTCGGTGACAAAACGGCCAGAGTTCTCCTCTGACAAGGGTAAAAAGTCATTTTGATCCAAAGGTCTTTGACTGCCCTCCTTAAGGACTCCGTTCATCCAGCGATAAAAAAGTGAAGATACAAAACTGACTTTTTTATCTTCACCACCAAAGATTTTCCTGTAACCGCCTTTAGGTGCCATCACTTGAGACCTACAAAATACTTAGCCATTATTGGCATATTCAACGCAATGGTCAAAGGTCTTCGCCTTTTGAACCAACCTGCCCTCTGAGAGTTGTAAACTTACATAAAATCCATTTAGTCACGGTGTTCTGTAGAACCTCATGACTTAGAATAAGCTTTGTGCTCGAAGAATGTCGAGTTTTCCTTTCTCTACTTTTTATGAACGTTTAATTTTCTTGGCATAGTTAGTTTGACAGCGGTTGCTAACCTTATTTTTGTCTGAAATTTTGCGCGAGAGATTTGCGCGCGGCCGGCCAAAATTGATCACCTTGCTTGGGTGAGCCTGTTGATTTCCAGGCTCCCTCTAGATAGAAACTAAGGAAGCGGCATGGAACCAACTTTTCATTCCGAATTGAGTTTCAACGATTTTTCGCCATCCCGTTTTCCTTTTTGTCTCCTCTACGCGAGAACTTGTCGCATACATGACAAACTTATTAGTCACAAAAATAAATCATTAATTGTAACTAATCACACACGAGATATTGAGACCTTAGAAACCTCAGACACCGAATGGGTTTCATCAAGCCAGTTTGTTTCAAAACAGTTTCAAAACACTGTGTTTTTTCTAAGACAAATTTGAATAATTGCTATTCCTTTGTATGGAGAGCCAAAACCAGTTCGAGGGTATTCCACAAAATGATCAACATGTAATATCAATTTCTATCATTTGTCCTTGAAAATGACAAGATCACAATGTCACAAATAAAGTCCCAGCAAACGATAGTGGGTAATAGAGAGTATCTTTTACTGTGACAGAAGAATTAGCAAAAGTTTCAACAAAACAAGTTACGCAACAGAGAGTATCTTATGCGAAACGCAACGCTCGTGCATCTCGCGATGCACGGTCATAATGAAACGCAGACCATGCAGACCGAGTAGGAGTTGGGGCAAATTTGAATGGCGGCAGAAGATAAAAGACAAAGTGGGGAGGGGTCAGGAACAGAAAGCGAACTGGTCAGCAAAGCAACTCAGCACCTTATAATCCTCGTCAAGTACGTTACGTCGATTTGTTAGACCTTAAAAAGACCAGTTCGTCTCGTCCTGGGAGATCGTTTCATTCTTTTTACCAGCCGAAAAACAAACAAATAACTTTTGGTAATATAATTTCTTACTAGGGTCTCCGAAAATTATTTCCAAATGGTGTTTTTGAATGACATTTAATCAGTACACTAGAATGGAAGGGGACAGGGGGGCGGGAGAACTGGGGACGGGAGAGGGCGGGAAGCGGGAACTATCTGAGGGCGGAAAGTGGGAGCAGAAATCAAAAAGGCACTCGTCTGTTGTTTATTACTGCTTATCATCCAGCCACGTCCACCGTGGCGTAAAATGAAATTTCACTAGCGAGAAAACGTAAATTTTTTCTCAGGCCAAAAGTAAGCGCATAATACTGTAAAAATTGGATACCTATCGAAGTCGATTGTGTGATTGGTCATGAATGAATTTGCCGGTGACTCGTGCAATGTAACAGTCAAAATTCTCGAGCCAACAAAGCGTTGGACGATGTTCCTGTATAATAATACAGATGTCGTAATTTTTAAAACGAGAGGATCACAAAATTTACCAAGAGCCCTGTCTTCATAACGCTGAATAAAGGGGGACTTGATATGGAAGTTTTGAAAGCACATTTTCAAAATGGAGCTTTTCGAAAACGCTATGACAAAATGCCCGGCAGCCGGACACGGCTGCACACCACAATATTATTACTCGGTTGTCGTCGCTTCTGATCAGACTGCTGGGCACGGTCTCGAAATAGCTAAATGCCCGGCAGTCAGAAATTTTCTCCTAAGTGCCACTAAATGGTTCCTTGAAACCTCTAAAGAGTATCAGAGTGTTTGTTTAGAAATGTCAAGCGATTCCAAAAATTAACATGGTTTTTCAAGAGGACAAATTATCTGAGCTAGCCACGTTAACATCAATGCTCCTTCAATTTTTTGGCGGTTTAATTAAGATCTTGATATGCCCACGATTAAGGTCCATCCAAATCTGTCTGCCACCGCTGATGAACGTTGTAGCGTGAGTGGAAAACATTCGTTGCGTTTTTTTTTTGTTTAGAAATAGTATTGAAATGTTGTCTCTGGAAATTTTGTCCAACGAAGAATGGACCGCAGTATAATTTTAATTAATGGTTCTTTTTCAAATATTTTACTTCAGTTGTTAACTGAATAGTTCCGCGCCAAAGATTCTTTCGTTCTAAATAAGTTTGAGCAATCATTCATTAAAAGTCTGAAGTCCTGCTCAAAGTTTTCTAGGAGTATAGTAAACTGGACCTTAATTTCAATCGTATTTAACTTGACTTGCACTAGTCCGGGGCCCTTAACCTCGCATAAGAATAATTTCTGACATGATTAGTAACATAAGCCTCTAGACGTATCACTGCTTTCCATGAGTATGATTGTAACTCAGCCTACGCTTTTCCTAAGGTTTCTCCGTCATGCCATAGATATGCACCTTGAGTGTGAAGTGCATTCAATGTACAAACACAGAAACCAAGCACCTTGAAGATCCGTAACTTTAAGCGCTTATTCATCCCTTTGATTAATACTTGCGAGAATTATTTTTATTATGGCGAGGGCTCTTCAACAAAATGTTAACGATGATAAACTTACCAAGAGCAAGCCAACTTAAAAGTGGTCCGGTGCGTTTCGGGTCCAAAAATGGATTTCTATCAAACTTTGCCTAGGAATCTAGTTTAGTCTAAAAGTAATCGAAACCACCTTGGTTTTTGCAAATATAGCAGAATAATTTTTTCCTAAGTGAAAATCGCTTCAGCGCTAGTTTTTATCAACACCGAACATCAAATTTCTTTTCACAAAATTCGAGTTTGAGGGGTTTTTTTTGCTTTGCATATTTAGATCAACCCTTTAATTTAAATGAGAACAAAGCACGTAACGGTTTTTTTCAATGCAATTTTGTTTGACACCTACTTTGATGCTACCGTCATGACCGGAAATATGCAACTTTTTATCTCTGCTCAGCGCAAAATTTCAACTTCTTTCCCACGATATTTTTTATCCAGACTGATTCAAATAGGGTAGAGGAGTATGCAAATGTAAAAACATGTTGTGGTTTCGGCGAACTTCTAGAATAGCTGGCCATGAAATTGCGTGTACTTTCGAAAATTCGACCTTACGGTGTACATGGAGCGGTCTAAAAAGTAAACGAAACTTATACGGCCAACTAATGTTTGACGAGTGATTTGAGTCCAAAACAGCTTTTTTTCAAATTCGTAATGGGATAAAAAATCATTAAGTAAAGAAAAATCTCTATATCCATCTAGAAAAATACAGCCGCCGAAAGTTGACTATTAGCTCTAGGCGACCTATTGCTTCGTTTATCACTCAATTAATGAGGAAGGGAAAAAACTTCAGAGGCAGGATACCTCTGACGAGATTCAGGTTTATTCAGAGTAACACTAAGTCGAAGTTTTTCGCATTCGTGGTACTTAAAGTGAAGTCCTTTTCAGTTGATGTATGTGACATGTAATCAAATAATATTTTACCATGCGAACTAATTTATCTTAGGCCTAGTTTATACGTCGCGCTACGGTCGAATTTAATTCAGACGAATTTAATTCAAGGTCCCACAAGCAATTAAACTCGACGATAGCGCGACGTCTAAGACGAATTAAATTCGTCTGGTAAATTAAATTCGACATAGATGTTTTATCCGTCTTGATAAGACGGATGAAATATCGATAAAGCGTCTTCAGTTTTAACGTCGCGCTAGCTTCGCGTCGAATGAAATGCATACATTTTCTTAATGTATTTCAATTTATTTTGGCGAGCCCGCAGCGACCCGTGGCGAGCTTTTCAAGTACTCCGCATGCGCAGAAATTCCTCTTGGGCACTTCGGCGCGAGTTTACGTTGTAGTTCATAGCCATGGCGCTTTGGAGGAAAAGTTTGTCATTTTCTTGCAGTAATTGTGAGAGACAAACGAAGTATTCTTGTATAACGTGTGGTAAAAGTGTATGTGTTCGATCGGAATGTTCGATTCCTGAAGTTAATGAAGAAGCTATCGGCTGGCAACCAAATAAACGTGTTGGGTATTGTCTCAAGTGTGCTCTTTGTACAGAAAAGCTTCTCAAAGATTGTCAGAGCGAAGTGGATGACAAAGACTTTAGTCAGAGGGATCTTACAACATGTATTAGCGAAGAAGAAGAAGAAGAAGAATAAGAAGAGTCAGATTTCATCGAGGAAGGAGAAATGGTGAGTTCTGAATGTGGGAAAAGGAAGAAAAGAATTGGGCGGAGAGCGACTTGGAAAGAAGATCACATCACTGATATGGTAAATATTATTGTTAATAATGACCAGCTGGTCAAGAAACTGATATTTTGCAATACTAAGAAAGCAAGCAACACTGAAGCTTATGAGATGTTGCGGAAACGGCTGAACGTCGAATACAATAAGACCACCGGGAGTGATTTTCCTTTCCAAGAGCAACAAATGAGAAATAAATTTAAGTCATGCATTAGTACATGTAAGCAGATCTGCATGACAATGAAAACTGCTTCAGGTATTGAAAGGTTTGTTGAAGAACGGGGATATGGTAAATGGTTTGACCTTCTTTATGTACTTGTTAAAACTAGAGATTCATGTCAACGAGAAAATGCATGTGAACCCTCTGTACATTTTGGAAATGTAGACAAGCAAGATACCAGCAAGAATGATCAAGAAGTTGATGGTGATGATGATGACTGTGCAAGCACTTCATCCAGCCTTATGGATAGCAGTGGAGAAGTCCCATCCAAGGGTAAACGTTTCTTGGCAAAGAAACCTACCTCTAAAAGAGCTAAAACTGAGCAGATGGCAAAAGCTGTTGAACTACTTGAAAGTACTATTGAGAATGATCCCACCAAAGAGCTTTTGCAAATTTTAAGGGAAGATATGAAGCAGTCTAGAGAACAGGAAATGAGGTACTTCCAGTTGATGTGTGGCCCACTAACACCTAACAGCAATCCA